TAAACATCGGTGTCTTCTGAGATATTTGCAGTCGGTGCGTCCCAGGTAGGGATGGGTATCAAGAACCGGTTCCTCTCTCAATGCTCTGACTCATCCTGTGATCCCCACAGTAATAGCTGACAGGGCAGAACCTGCTTGCAAAGGGGGGAACACCAGCAACCTGAAAACATACTCATACACCAGGCTATACATCTGAGTGAGTGCAGCGTGTTTGACTGCTTTAACAAGTGGCTGCTAACGTTAGCGATACACCTCCATTTTCAGTACAGCCTGTTGGGAGAATAACACAAGAACAGACAGACACAGTTTGTACACGGGTGTAATTAGTTTGCCCAGTCCTCTTCGATACAGTTGGTGTTGAGTTTCTTTAGACTGCTGGGGAGACGATCAGTAATGAGAGATTTTGACTTCTCCAAACGAAAGTCAACATGCCAATTTTCTTCATATAAAATCAGTTGAATAATTAATTGATTATGTTTTTGGGGTTGGCTGAATAATAAAGATCCCAGTTCTTTTTGGTATAGATTATTGTTTGCTTCTGAAGTTAATAACTGGAAGTTAAACACAATGAGGCAACACATAGGATCTAAAAACAACTTAAAACAAAATAACTGTTGAACCTGAATATTTGTTCGGGTCTTTTCATGTAATGTCTTCATCTTTTTTACAAAGTGTGTATTAAAGTGTTGATAAGAGAATTGATAAATACCGGTTTCGATAAGCCTTCGGTATGGATACAATCCTAACAATACCCATCCCCATGGGTGATGTTAGCATAGCAACCAAAGCTAAACTGACTATCTTGACTACTTGTTGCTATCCTATTGTGGCATAAGCCGGCACATTTTACCAGCGTATTTTTCATTATGATTCTACTTGTGATAGTCGGACATGACAACCTGTGCAGCCCATGTATTGATTCCATCCGATAGCTGCTATAATACAAAACAAAACGTCTGCCTGCTCTCCACAATGATCAATGACAGCGAAGTAAGGTACAAATAAACAGAATCACAAGAAGCCTGGTTAGTGTTGCCTGACTTTATAAAGTGTGTTTTTTTTAATAAGTGTGTGGTTGCGTTCTAGTCACTTTGCTCAGCGCTAATGCTTGTTACAACTTTTATTTGCCGTACTACTCGCCATAAACTGTTATTGCTCAGGTTGATCACGCCCCTGCCCCCGCCTCCGACGTAAGCGTGACGTAAGCGTGACGTATGCGTGACGTATGCGTGACGTATGCGTGACGTATGCGTGACGTATGCGTGATGTATGCGTGACGTATGCGGTTCTTGCTTCTAGACGGACCATTTTTTGGTGCTTGAAAAGCACCGTGTTTCGGAGCTTAGAGGCGGCTCCGCTGCGGTGTGAACAGGAAAAACTGGTGCTTTTCAGGCTCTAGCTCCGAACCGGCCCTGGAACCGTGTTGGTGTGAAAGCCGCATAATAAATTAGCTTTTTGATGCAATAATAACCTCTTCCTCCCTACTGGGCTGTGGGGCCAACTTCCGAACAGCGCCATGCATGTCCTCGGCTGACATGCACTCTTTAATTATTTCTTTCTATGAGTGTTGGAGCGAAACGAGGGCAAGAGGAAAGTGATGACATCCTTCTAATGAATCCTTGAATAAATAATACTGCTGTCTAAGCTTAAGGCATCCTCCACCAGCTCTTAATGGGAGAGAGGTGGAGAGAAGGGGGAGCAGGGAGGGTAAATTGATGGAGAAAAAAAGACATACAGTATAACCCTAGCCCTAGCCTGGAATTACAGTGACATTTAATGTAGGAAATTCCAACACAACCTGTGTATATCATTGGGCTCTGGATGTACTGCTACTTAGCTTTGTTCTTAATGGTGGCTATGCTAGTTTTTCCGAGTGTAGTTCATTTTAGTCGGTCAGGACCAAAAGGTTGTCAAACCTCCACAGGTTTAATATTTATTTCCAATGTTTATACTGTACATACACAAGTTAAATCATGATGCCACTCACCGTTACCATCCTCAACTACACCAGAAAGACACAAAAATAAAGAGGGAATGTGTTGAGGAACACATCAGTGTCCTCAGGTTAAGTCCATGGCTGGACACATTGCATTTTTTTCTTAAAAGAGACTCAAATTGTATTTTACTACATCTCTGAAACATAAACATTTTTCTAGTTCCGCACATCAGCTCTCAACATTATTATTGACCCTGGATCCTCTTTAAAGATGTCCACTATTCCTACACCCCCTCAATTATGTAAAATATGTATTTGCACTCATCTGTGTTTATGCAAGCACAAGCTTTAAATTACATTTTTTAGAACCACACTGCTTTTATATACACTCACCATCCACTTTATTAGGTACACCTTGCTAGTACCGGGTTGGACCCCCTTTTGCCTTCAGAACTGCCTTAACTCTTTGTGGCATAGACTCAACAAGGTGCTGGAAATATTCCTCAGGGATTTTGGTCCATATTGACATGATAGCATCACGCAGTTGCTGCAGATTTGTCTGCATATCCATGATGCAAATCTCTGGTTCCACCACATCCCAAAGGTGATCTATAGGATTTAGATCTGGTGACTGTGGAGGCCATTTGAGTAAAGTGAACTCATTGTTATGTTCAAGAAACCAGTTGGAGATGATTTGAGCTTTGTGGCATGGCACGTTATCCTGCTGGAAGTAACCATCAGAAGATGGGTACACTGTGGTCATAAAGGGATGGACATGGTCAGCAGCAGAACCCAGGTAAGCTGTGGTGTTTAAACCATGCTCAATTGGTACCAAGGGGCCCAAAAGATGCCAAGAAAACCCACATCATTACACCAGCACCAGAATCCTGAACCAGCAGGATGGATCCATGCTTTCATGCTGTTTACTGGAACTTCTGACACTACCATCCGAATGTAGCCACAGAAATCGAGACTCATCAGACCAGGCAATCTTTTTCCATTCTACTATTGTCCAGTTTTGGTGAGCCCGTACAAATTGTAGCCTCAGTATCCTGTTCCTAGCTGACAGGAACCCGGTGTGGTCTTCTGCTGCTGTAAGCCCCTCTGCTTCAAGGTTCCACGTGTTGTGGTTCAGAGATGGTCTTCTGCATACCTTGGTTGTAACTAGTGGTTATTTGAGTTACGGCCCGTCCACACAGCGGCGTGCGTTGAAAGCTTCACCATTCACTTTGAATGGGGTGACGTCACTTTTCGCCGAACTGCATTGTGGGAAGCGAAGCGGAGCTTTGCTGGCGTGGCTCGCTGCAAAAGTTGAGCAATGTTCAACTTTTGAAGCCTCGGCAGAAACGTCAGCCAATCGAATCATATGCCAGTACAAGCTCTAGCCAATCAAACCGCTGCTTGTGTGTCAGGGGCGGGAGATTCATGTGATTGGTTGTTGGTCGAGTTTCAGACACGCCCGCCGGCAAGCTTCAACGCACGCCGCTGTGTGCACGGGCCGTTACTGTTGCGTTTCTATCATCTTGAACCAGTCTGGCCATCCTCCTCTGACCTCTAGCATCAACAAGGCATTTTCGACCAGAGAACTGCATATACTCAATAATGTGATTATTGACAAACAAAGTTCAGATTTTACAATTGTTTATTTTGATTTGAAATACAGAAGGAAAAAATACAATGAATCAGGAAGTTGTGAATAGTGGCTGTGCTGTGGCTAAACAGTGATATTGACTTTGTGTCATTTTCTAATGTTATCAACCTGAAAATCCGGAGAAAATTAACCTGTCCTTTTAAGTCAAGGTTGTGAGCAACTGTTTTAAAAAGATTTAAATAGAGAAAAATAAAGGAATTTAGTTTTGGATGTGTCCTCTGTTGTCTTTTCAAGTTCATGGAGACATCGAGGGAGAGACAAACAAAAAGACAGTTTTAAAACTATTGAATTACTTGGAGGATAATATCTGATGCTGCAGTATAACTAGCAGCTTGTTTGCTTCTGGTGCGTGCGTGCGTGCATGCGTGCGTGCGTGCGTGCGGCACCAACAGCCATCAGCCACACTCTGTTGCCATAGCGAAGGCAGATGGAAGGCAGCTTGAGTGACAGCTGAATCCACCACACACATTTCCAACTCCTTCATGCTATCTTGATGCTCCGCTTTCTGTGCAGTCACTTCACACACGCTGGCTCCGGCACTGACACATACTGTAAACCATCACCTGTCCATGTTTCATGTCAGCACACGGGGGGAGAGAGGAGATAGTGCAGTGTGTTGCTGTGACAGAAAATACGCTGGCCAATGGGAGCAGGTGGGAAACCAATTGTGTTGAGCTGCCTGCCAATCAGTAATGGCGCTGAGCGTTATGCCTTTTTTTGTATTGGTAGTGCCCAAATGAAGCCATTACCCAAGGGGTTTGGGTCAGTTCATCAGCAATTTTTATAAATGCTTAAGTCAATTTCCAAAGAAAGATGACAAATATATATATATATATATATATATAAATAAAAGTTTATAGCAAACGATAAATTGTAAATGTAGCAGCCTAAAATGTACTGTAAAAGGTTTATTATTGAGATTATTAAGTGAATCTGTAATTGTTCGCACTATAAAAAATATTACTGAAATTAATTTAGAATAAAATATATATAAAAACAAAACATGCAAATTGCTTTTCATTGTTATCAAATGGGAGGGGGGGCACTACTTATAATAAAAGCATTTTGTTTTGCTTTCATGAGGACCTGAAAGCAAGCTGGTTCCTAATTTGAGAGCATTACGGTTTTAAAAAAAAAAAAAGTTTTGGAATTCAATTATTTAAAGAAGACGAAAGTATTTTTATTGTGAAATATGCTATATAACTTCTATCAACCTACATCAAATGTTTTGCATTTTCTTTGTGTGTCTTTATTTATATCTACACTGTTAATGATTCATTCAAAAATAAAGGCAAGATATATGACTTCAAAAGTGAATTAGTCCTTGCTATTTCCTTCAGATTCCTGCATGCTGCCTCTGTATTGCAGTGAAGTGTTCGTCTTTACTCATCCGTTCCTCCCTCTGTGTGTCAGATCGCACAGCTGGTGTTTAAGGGCATGAAGCGTCTGAACAGGATCCAGTCTCTGGTGTTTGAGACGGCCTACAACACCAACGAGAACCTCCTGATCTGCGCTCCCACCGGCGCCGGCAAGACCAACATCGCCATGCTGACCGTGCTTCATGTGATCAACCAGCACCTGCAGCCCGGGGGGGTCATCAAGAAGGACGAGTTCAAGGTATGTCACACACACACACACACACACACACAAGTCCACATAATAGCTCCTCTTTTGGCAGACAGGCTCTGGGCGGTTGTGGGCAGATCCTCCTCCCAGTGTTTCATTAAAGAAATATTTGTAAGGTTTCTATGACAATGATATCTCCACAACATATCACTGCTTTTTGTATGACAGACTAGCTTTCCCCCTTGGGTTTTTTAAAAATCTTTTTGTGCTATTATCTATTTGTTTTATATTTTTATGTTTTGTTTCACCGTTACAACCAACTTGATGCCGATGCTTGCTCTCACACTTATGGAGCGTTCACATCGGGCCAATACGTGCTTGCGAGGAGGCGGGGCTTATCTCCATGTAGATACAATGGTAGATACCAAAAACAACAAAATTAACATATTGTACTGTGATTTTTAGTGATACACACTTTCCAAATGATACCAAACATAGTGATAACATTTAGTAAAAACCATGAATTAATGCTTTGACAAGTGGGCTTACTAGACGGCAGACGAAACACTTTTAAAATCTGTGTTTTCTGAATGGAGATCAGATCGATCAGGCTAAGCTAAAATGTAGCTGCTCCGTCCACACCCACAACAATACTGTCATACAGACAGAAATAAAGCAGCGACTGTCTTCGCCATGCCATAGACAGTCTGTGGTTTGTACATTTCTAACTTTAATCCAGTTTCTGAACAGATATGAGGAGCTGTGAGCTCTGTGCTGTCGCCCAGGCTGCTGCTGCGGTTTTCTGATTCAACATCAGTGACGTCAGGCTGAGATTCTCACCTCTGGTTGCCTTTCGCAGACAGCGTCATGCCAATTTGTCACTCAAGTAAAACAAATTTGACTTTTGCGAATGACGCAAAAGGACATACAAATGACATTTGCGCCTCGTCATTCCCGTCTATACATGTTTACACATGTTATCGCAAAACAAATCGCAGTCGCCTGTCTTTAGTATGAATGAACTTCACAACTAAGTCTGACAGCCGTAGAGGAAGCTGTATATGGCAATACAATTATAAAATATAACGAAAGCAATGCTCACCAAATCCGCTCAGCCGATCTGCTCTAACAAATGGACTTTTTGGTCTTTGTTATAATAGTTTCTATATGAAAAACACAACCAAAAACAAGCGTACCCCAATATCTTTTTGAAAATATTTTCAACTTGAAGCTTTTTGAGTGCAAAAGAAAAACAGCTGGGTGCATTTTCTCGAGGCGACTGCATTGCAGTCTGGCCTTATTGGACACAATTGAAAGAAGATGCTGAGAATGGACTTACTGTATACAATATGTCTGACTGTCAGGCTAAATCACAGTCAGAGTTAAAGAGACTTTCTGTGGTCTGTCTAAGATTGTCTGCGATGACTGCCTAATATATCCAGTGATACTCTACCCAGCGCCTCTCAACAGGCCTCCTGTTGATTAAGCATGCTCCTTGCTGAGTCTCTCACACCCCCTGCAGAGACTCACATCTGATGCTTTGCATGATGGGATTTCAGGCAGCATTTAAGGAGCTTTTTAAATCCAAGGGCAGCTGGATTGACTGGATTATGTTTTTTTCCAAGCTAGATCCGTTGTCTGTTTAGCAGATTTTTGCAGCGTCATTTAAACTTGATGGTGATCTGTTAAAAAATGTTGTCACATCTTTGTGTATTTAATTATGTTTTTTGAGCGTTCAAATAGGGTATCTGATAAACATTTTTGATTTAAACCCTGGCTAAAACACAACAAAACAAACAATGTACCTTTTTAATTGCTAAGGTTTTTGACAGCTGTTGAAACTGTCCATAAAACAATGCTTTACATTTAATACAAAAACAGTGAGTTTGACATTTAAAAAGAGAAAATTCCAGGTTTGGATTAGATATTCTACAGATGGAAGCCTGCTGTGAGACATGCCTACCTTTCTGCCAACCTAAACCTTTTTATCTTCAGAACAGAGTGTCTGTAGTTATGGAGATCTGAGCTGGAACACAGAATTGGGATTTTGTCTAATTCAGGCATTTTAATTGAAAGGACTGACACAGAAGTTGTGGTAGCACTGTTTGGCCATTATGAACATTTGCTTCAATGTCCGGTGCACTTCCTAGGGGCTTCTTTATAATCTGTCAAAAATGTGTCTTAAAACACTGGAACTGAAAGAGTTAAAACACCCCTCTACAAAGGCACTCCAGTTGTGTAAGAGCCATTTTATTTAATTTTTTTAACATTTCTGTGAAACTGAAACATTGTCTCACTCAGTAGGACTTAGTTTAGGGATTTCCAGGACTTTATTTGTATTACTTTGTGTTCCTGTTCCTGTGTTTGACCTTGACAAGTAATATGTAGTCTTTAAGAAATGTCATACATTCTTATCCTGCACACTTTATATTATATCTGTGGCTATTACAGATATCTTAGTTTGAAAACTCCAGTTTGTGACTCTAATCAAAGGCCAAGAAAAACATTAAAAAGTGAGGGAACTGTGGTGTGCAAAAAAGAATGATGGTATTGTTAGGATTGTATACATCTATTTAGTGCTTATTGGCATCAATACTTAATGCTCCTCACTACATTTAAAAGGCATTCAGATGTTTGCCTGGGTCCATCAGTCCATCCTGTTATCTGTTGTTCTTGAGGAGGGGGGGGGGGGGGGGGGGGGGGGGGGGGGGGGGGGGGGGGGGGGGGGGGGGGGGGGGGGGGGGGGGGTTATTGTGTTACACCTACACACGCTGTGGCTGGCTGTCTAGATGACATGTGGTGGATACAGGAGAAACAAGCAGCCTTCTCCAGATGGAGGCTCGTGCGTTGACGTAGTCGTCGATGCTACAGGATGAATCATCATCAGTGAACCTGTACATTACATTACATGTTACTTGTTAGACGCTTTTATCCAAAGCGACTTACATACTCAATACTGTGGGCAATCCCCACAGGAGCAATTTGGGGTGAAGTGTCTCAGGGACACAACGACATGCTGACTGCAGTGGGGTTTGAACCTGTGACCCCCTGATCGGAACACCAACGCACAACCCACTGCACCACACGCCTGTACCTGTGTAGTAAAGTTATTTGTATCTTTGGCAAAATAAGAACAGCAAACGCTTAAATGAATACACTTAAAATACAGATAGCAGACGCTACTGATGCAGCTCTGACCAAATGACATGACAACTCAGCGCTACGTACATTTACATAAAAAAACTGTTGTTGTGCATCTATATCGTTGACATTGTGAAGGTGCACCATACATCTGAAGTGCTGCCGTTGGAGTTTTAATTATACCCGAGCCTGCTGGGTTCCTACTACAGTACATTAATGCTTCCACTCCTCTCTCTTGAGATGTTTTACAACACACTACAGAAATGTATCATTGGAAAAAAGAGCTACAAAAAACCCCTTGATTTAGAAAGCCTCATCTGTTACATGTATTTACTACCCTCCTGGCTTCCTCCGTCAGGAACTGGGACAGTTTGTCTCTTTCTTACCTGATAATGAGATAGACAGCTTTTCTTATGTTTATTCAGAAGTGTATTATGAATACTTTTGAAAAATCGAAGATGTGAGCATTGAAAATTAAATACAGCCAGAAATGGAAAAATAGAAACTTCAATAAAAGCACAAAGAGTCATCTATTGGCAGCTCGGTCTATAAATATTGGGTGTCTTTTCAAACACATTGTGTCAAAACACACACTCGGATAAATAAGTCAGACATCCAGAAGGCTTTGTTCTCTTTCTCACACACACACACACACACACACACACACACACACACACACACACACACACACACACACACACACACACACACACACACACACACACACACACACACACACACGCTCACACACATGCTCACACACAGTTCCAGCCTGTGACGATAGCCACTTTTCATACATCACCATTAAACTTTACCCATGCAAGTGGCTGGCATCATATTTCTCAATAAATTGTGATTTGTGGTTGCCAGGGAACAAATGATCCCGCCTCTGTTTGCTCATTTATCACCAGAGTGTCCTTCCATCCCACCCCCCATCCCTTACCCTTCCCACTCTCCCCCTTTCGGTTCCCATCATATTTACCTCTGTGCCCCCCTCCCCCCCCCCTCTCTCTCTCTCTCTGTAGATCGTGTACGTGGCTCCGATGAAGGCCTTGGCAGCTGAGATGACTAATTACTTCGGTAAGCGATTGGAGCCACTGGGCATCACAGTTAAAGAACTCACCGGGGACATGCAGCTAACCAAAGGAGAGATCCTACGAACACAGGTACGCGCACACACACACACACACACACACACACACACTCACACTCACACACACACTGCGAGTTCTATCATGCCTCCAACTAAAATGGTCTCTTCTCCAGGTTCCCCGTGCTACTCTTTTATGTTCTCTAGCACCCCCAAGTGGATTGGATTGTGACATTTATTGGAGCCATTCCACCATATATTATATATACAATTCTGCCAACTGTTAGTGAAAAGTGTAATTCAAACAGATGTCTAATTTAATTGTTAGCAACTGTCGAGCTATGGATTTACAGTTGCTTTCAAAAGAAAAAAGAACAAATGATTAAAGGGCCTGCTATAAACTCTGCTGTTTCTGTTCTGGCTTCATTAGTGAAAGTCCAGTCAGTTTTATTTATACAGCCCAATATCACAAATCACACATTTGCCTACAATTTGCACAGCATACGACATCTTATGTCCTTAAACCCTCTATTCGGGTAAGGAAAAACTCCTCTAATCATGTTAAAATATTCAGAACGTTTTTTATTTCATTCCATTTATGTGAACAGTCGTCAACTCCAGGATATATTACTGTCTTTAAAAAAAATATTAATTTATATTAAATATTTCAACTGTTGACTTAATTGCTTTATTATACATGTATAACAATCCTACATAAAATTAAAAAAATTAACCATTTGCTAAAAGAGCTCATTTTCATGTTCATATCAGTATGTAGTGTCTCTACTGGGACACGTCTCCATGCTTTAATGTTCAAAAAGCTCTTTATTCTTCTCATACAGCCTGTGCTGCAGCACCTCTTTTCACCCTCTGTCTGAAACCAGAGCCCAGTCTGCTCTGATTGGTTAGCTGGCCGGCTCTGTTGTGATTGGTGCGTTCACACCGGACGCGATGCGATGTTTGGGGGCGGCGCGATTACATGTAAAGTCAATGCAGAGACGCGGACAGACGCGAATTCGCTCCGACGGTGCGCATGAAGCGGTGGACGCGGCGCGAATCACGCGATTGAGGCGATTGAACGGTGCCGTGTTAAACGCGAGAGTTCAATTTTTTCAACTCGAGCGTCAAATTCACGTGACGCGTTCTCGCGGAAGCCAATCAGCGGTGAGGATCTCAGCCTGTCGTCACTGAAGTTCAACCAGAAAACATCAGCCGTTAGCTGTTAGCACTCAGAGCTCACAGCTCCTCATATCTGTTCAGAAACTGGACAAAAGTTAAACAAGTACAAACCACAGACTGTCTGTGTCATGGCGAATACAGTCGCTGCTTTATTTATGTCTGTAGGCCGTTGTTATGAGTGTGGAATGAGCATATACAACGTTAGCTTAGCCTGGTCGACCCGATCTTCATTCAACACGCATTTTAAAAGGTGTTTCGCCTGCCGTCTGTCTGCAGACTTGTCAAAGCATTAATTCATGGTTGTTACTAACCGGTATCAGTATGTTGTTACTTCGGCATCATTTAGAAACGTGTATTACAATTAAATCACGGTAAAATATGTTCATTTTGTTGTAGTTGTAGCCCCCGAGACAGCGCGTCTTGTTTGAATGATGCGAGTAAACACAGCTGGCAGCCGCGGTGAAACTCCAGCGTTTAGAGCGATGCGATAGGAGCGATTAGAGCGAAGCGAATATTCGCATCGCGTCCGGTGTGAACGCAGCATTAGCATCTTCACTTACAATGTGTTGGAGCACTGGCCAATAGAAGCGTGAGTGTTAGTTACATAGTGATGTCACTATGTTACGAAAGTAAACAAAAGATAGTATAGAACACACTACTGGAAAGGGAAAACCTGAAAAAGCAGAATAGGGCCCCTTTAACAACATTTTGTCAAGTGATGAGAATCATTTGATTCACTTGAGTCCATCTCAGTCAATGAGATGCTTTCTCTCTGTTCTAATGGGTTGTTCAGGTAATGGAGTAGCAGATGCAGAACATTCTGTGTTTTTATGGGGTTCTCCTGATGGAACATGTGAATTGAATCTCAGGTGCCTTCCACAGAATCCCTCGCATACGGGACTTTCCTTCACTGTTTTTAGGAAGAGGATGGATTTATTAGAATGAGCCAAAGGATTGAGGATAAATGCTGCGGGTGGAGCACATATTAAGTGAGAGAAGCTGGCTCCTCAGCTCAGAGGAAGCAGAGATGGCTAGATCAGCCTGAAAGACTCAACTCTCAGGCTGAGAAGGTTGGGAAAACATGCATATCTGTTAAATCCAAAAGAGGTGGATTGGAGAGATCGCACAGCTTAGAGGGAAGGTTTATAAGCCTTGTGGGACTTATGAATTGAAAAAGGAAAAGGTTGGGGTTCGGTGTCTGTAGGGGGGTGGTTTATGCTGGCAGAAGGTGGAGTTTTTATCTATGAAATGAGGCCAATTCCAGCTAATCTGAAGGTGTGTTTAAGATGCATTTCTATTGGGTCATGTGGAAAGATTTCACAGTGAGAAAGATTAGTAAGATTCACTGCGTCTCTGCAGCGCTCCATTATCTGTGTCTCTCTCATCTCACTGCGTTAGTGTCAGTACATTTACACAAAGTGGTGAGTGAAAGGGGGCCGTCCATGTTTAACAGGCCGGAGTGATGCCATGTGCTGTGACCTTGGTTGTCTCCTCAAAGTCCTCACCACGTCTTTCATCATGTTCTTTTGATGTGCACAGCAGAGTGGAGGATCTGGCGTGACTTCAACCACATGCAAAGTGTATGCAGGAGTGAAAGGTAGTCTTGAAGCAGTGTTGTATTAAGAGCTTATCTTTTGTTACACTGACACGTCTTGTCCTGCGACCTTCATCAGAGCCATTATGCAACACTTTAGAGTGAAAGTAAACAAAAAAACAAGCAATCCAATATACACATAGGGTGTAGTATATGAGAAGGTTGTACAATTTCGACCAATCTGATCAGTGATCTGGCAGAGTCCAAGGCTGTGTTTAATCACTGTTATGTGTGACACCACATTTACTCCACAAACAATTCAGTAAGTCTGTAAATCATTTGACCCCTGGCAGCCTGGAAAATCAATCATTTAAAAGAAAATGGTTATAATGAAAATAGGACTAAAGTCATATTAACTATTTCATTTCCATATGAATGAAAAATGTTGCAAGGAGTTAACATGTACTGTCATTAAAGGTCCATTTCTCATGGCCATTTCTACTGATCATAATTCCATTGTTGAGGTCTACTAGAATAGATTTACATTGTTCAATGTTCCAAAATCACATTGGTTTCTCATACAGCATCTCTGTATAGTATGTGTATTCACTCTCTGTCCTACACGCCTTGTTGGAGCTCCTGCCCCCCCCCCCCCCCCCCCCTCCCCTCCCTATGAGCCCACTGTGCTCTGATTGGTCAGCTCGCCCACTCTGTTCTGATTAGTCAACCACCGTTACAGCTGGACATCAGTGATTATGTGTTACAATGACGTTTGATAGCAACCAGAAAATGAGACCAGTAATGACAAACAGATGAGAATGCTGCGTGGGGTCGGGGTGCCGTGTTGGCGGGACGTTGCGGGGCTTGCTGCTCCGCCCTTTGAGGCTCGAGGAGCGGACAGTTTGAGCTGTATTACTGGTGTGTGTCCTGGTTGCTGCGTGGGGTCTGCGAGACAGCGAGACACCGCGGAGCTCAGCCTGAGCACACACACACACTCACAGCCTGAGCTCCCTCAGGCTGTGAGTGTGTGTGTGTGTGGATTGGTCCATTTGGTCGGTGTTACGTCACTATGACTATCTGGTGCCACTAAATGTTTTTAAAGCTCGGTTGGATGCTACTCAATCGGAAGCTGTTGGTACCTGTTCATGTGGATAGTTATGTAAATTGTAATCCCTGTAATGATGCTGTATGATGTCCTTTTTGTTGTTCTGTTTATGTTTTAATGTTTCATGTGGAACCTACTTGAGCAGGTCTCCCTTGAAAAAGAGATCAATGATCTCAATGGGATACACCTGGATAAATAAAGGTTTGAAATTAAATTAAATGATGACCGTTACGTGACTATGACCCGGAAGAAAAAAAAGGAAAAAGAGAAATGTCCAACGAGGCGCTCTTGGGCAGCATAGACAGGTCTGTTCTGTGTTAGAGTTTTACTCGCTACAGGGTGTACTTTGAGGGTTTGTGACTCTGCAGACCGTTTACATGCAGAAAAAGCTACATAACACACAAGGGGATGGGTAACAACTGGAAAAGCATGACATGGGACCTTTAAAACATCTGGGAATGGCTTTAGTGGGGGAATTTTAAAAGTTTATGAGCAATTTCCATTTTCCTTTCTGACACTGGATTTTTAGATCAATACAGTTGTCTTACGGCCGTCCACACAGCAGCGTTAAAAACAAATCTTCCAACGCTTCTGCCCATTCACTTTGAATGGGGTGACGTCACTTTGCCTCACTTTTCGCCGAACTGCATTGTGGGAAGCAGAGCGGAGATTTCCAGGCATCTCAGGATTCAAAAGTTGAGCAATGTTCAACTTTTGAAGCTGAGGTGGAAGCATCAGCCAATCAAATCCTGTTTATGCTGGGAGAGACATACCGCAGGTCATTTCCTCATATTCCAAAAAATGGAGGAGAAATTAGCGGTAGGGAATCACCCGGTGCTTTATGACCAGTCCCTATTTACCTACCGGGATATAAACCGGAGGAGCCAGGCATGGAGGGAGGTGGCAGAGACAGTGGTAGGGTTTCGCCTGTTTGGGGAGTTTATATCCAGTTTACTTCAAACTGTTTTGCTTCGTATGTCGGGGGCGGGAGATTCATGTGATTGGTTGTTGGTCGCGTTGCTCGCAAAAAATCCCCAAGCTTCAGATACGCCCACCTCCAAGATTTTTTTAACGCTGCTGTGTGGACGCGCCGTTACTGCTTCCAACAAGCTCTACTCACCAAGTGGCCAGTTAAGGTATTGGATTTAAGGTCTTTCAGTTTTTGTTTGAATGGGGATTAAACATAAAACTCTAATCTGTAGACCTTTGAGTCCTTTCCTCTGGATATCCTTATTGTGGAGGTTTGAAGGAAGAAACA